CCTGCGCCCCCGCGCCCCAAGTCGGCGAGGTCGAACGAGCGCCGGGGAGGCTACCTCCCATCAGCGGGGGACTCGTGTGGTCTCGGAGTCGGGAGTGCGTCGGGTGGCCGTCCTGCGTTCTCCGCCCGGGCCCATGGGGCTCGTGGGCTTCTCGGGAGGTTCGTGTGGTGCCGTGGATTCCCGCCGTTAGGGGGAGATTCCCTGGCGCTCCGCTCTCTGCTTCACAGTCGGGCGCTCCATTTTCTGTTCGACAGTCGCGAGGCGCTCCGTTTTCCGTTTCTCTTCCTGTAACTCCCGAAGGGTTGCCAATCGCGCGTTCTTTTGCCCACGCGTCTTCCAGATGCTTGGCTCTGTGTTGGTGGTGGTTCGATGCTGGAGGTTCCCGAGCCCGTCAGTGGGTTCCCGGAGGCTCTTCCGTTCCAGTCGATCGGGACGCTCTCCACCACCTGCGCCTCGCCAAGAGCGTTCTGGGGTTGCTGGGCTCGTTCCGCAAGGGCGCGAGGGGCACGAGTTAGGCCACGAAATCCAGACCCCTCCCCGCCGTGAAGGACAGGCGTTCGGGAGGGAACGTGTAATGGAATTCTTGTTGCAAGGGTCGGGGTCTCGGGGCCACTCTCGTGCCCCAGGACCGTCAAAGACGATTCAGGATGAGATGTGTAGTTTGTTTCTTCCCCTGCGGGCTTCAACCACCTCATCTTTCCCCATGTTGAGGGTCTGACAGAATGCCTGGACGTGGCGCTTCTAGGCTCCAGCAAGAAGAAACTCCCAGGGGGGCGACCTCCTGGGCATGAGAAGGTGGACATCACGTTCCATTCGGAAGAGGGATCCACGACACCACGAGAGAGCATCCCCTCCAGCACACAAGGCAATCGAAGCCACAACGCGCTGGGGAGGTGTCTGCCAAGATTATTCAGAGTCGTCTGCTGCTGCATCGTCATCGGCAGGGACAGAAATGGTCGCGGCTCCAGCGGCTGAACAAAGCCTCTGGACCTTGGCGGCCAGAAACACAGATACCTCAGGATGAAGAGCTGGTCATGGAGGAAAATCCAGGATCCGTTTTCCTCAGGACTCGTTTCTTTCATGCCAAGCGTGGCGGGCAGGAACCTTCGTCCTCCTCGTCCTCCCCGTCCTCTTCCCTCCTCATCGCCCCTCTTGGGGGCCAGTTGACAGACGCCTCCCGCCCCCCGCGTCGAGAAAAAGTCGACGGAGGGTGTCTGGCCGTTTCCCTTGCCAGTTCCCAGAGGCCGTCAGGCAACGTATCAGGCTGAGAAGCTGGCCCTGTGGAGGGGTCGAGACCTCCGGGGGTTACACAATCACGATGTCGGAGTCTGGATCCTCCTCCCACTCGTCCTCCTCCCTCCTCCTCCTTCGCTCCTTCCTTCTTTCCTTCCTTCCTTCCTTCTTCCGCACTTCCTCCTTCTCTCCCTCCCTCCCCGTCTTCATCCCCACTTCATTTTTGGAGCAGGGGGAGAAGGAGGAGCGGGAGGGGGAGCTCGGTGGCCAAAGGAGGCGGCCGATGCAGCCGAGGCAGCGCCGCCCAAGCCGCCGGTGCACGGGACCCGCGCACACGCGCGCGCGCGCGCCTGACGCCGCGCCGGTCGGCGTCCTTCAGGGGCATCGATAGCGGCAACAAGGGACAGGCATGGGGGGGATGCATCGACCCCCAGTCGCCCATTTATCTCCGATAAGGGTCCGATAGCCCCAACCTGCCCAAGAACGTGCGGATTTGTTATTGGGACCCAATCGCCGATCTATCGGCGACGTATCGCCGATTTCAGGTCGATGCTTTCCCCCTATTGCAGTCCCCCCGTATCGTTGCCCTCAGTCCTGCCTGGGTCACCCGCGGGATCGGGACAGATCGCCAGCATGGAATAAAGGCCCCTGGAGGTTTCGAGTTCTGAGGTTTTCTGATGTTTTCGTGCTTGCCTGGAGTCTCCCAGCCTCGGGATGCTTTCCAGCAGCTGCGCCTTGCCGAGAGTGCTTCGTAGGTGCCCGACTCGTCCTGAAAGGCCGTCAGAGACACGAGTTAGACCCGAGAGCCAGACCCTCTCTGAGGGAGAGGAGTCCCAGAGGAGGCGGGTCCCGCACGTCTGTTTGTTTTGTGTTTTCTGTGCTCTTGTAACTGTTGTGCCTCCTGGCGGTTTCTCGTCGCCGCGTCTGGATTGCCCTGGAATTTCTGTGTGGAACCCTTGTAGATGTCTGGTGGTCGAGTCATGAGTGTAGCAATAAAGGAGCGACGTCTTGGAGAAATACATCGATCCTTGAATTTTTTCTGTGCTTTCGGGCTCCTGGGGCACTCCCCAGGCCCTGGGGCCGTCAGAGAACCGCTCAGGATGTAGCACTGGTCCCAGGGAAAGCTCCTGGGTCCAGGACCCGCTTCTCAGCCAGTGTCGGGAGCTGCTGCAGCACGGGTGGACAGCCAGTGGGGATGGGCACTGCGTGTATCCAGGGGCTCCGATCGCCCGTCATTCGGCGAGGCTCCCCGGCGAATTTGTGGAATCCCCGCCCGCCGCTGGGGCTGTGCGCCCTTCCTGTTTCAGCGGGCGAAGAACGCTATAAAATGAACATGCCGCCGTCGAGGACGCCTGCCCCCCGGGCAGCTGGAAAGTTTATACCCATACGTGGCAACGTATGGGCATATTTTTTCCAGCCGCCTGAGGGGCAGGCGTCCCCGACGGCGGACAAGTTTACTCTTCGCCCGCTAATGTTGGGCCCCTCCCTTCAAATAGGGGCCCAGAGGGGGGCCCGCCCTGGGAGGTGCCTCGCCCTTGGACGCCGGCGACAGACCGCCAACCGGGCTGTTGCCGGTGAGCTCGCGGAGCTCTCCTCCTCTGCGCCAGAGATTGCGAAACACGAGAGACGCTACAGTGGGAAACCGACCTCAGCCCCCACAACTATGGATTTTACATGTCAGCGTTTTGCAGTTACGGCGAATGAGCGTAAGTGTAGGTGCCCTGTCGGCGAGACCATTGCCAGCTGCCGCAGGGGGGCTCCGCGCGCGCGGCGACGTCCTGGGCCCGCTCGACGCGGCCGCGCCCGCGCTGGCATTCCTTGGGCGGCGCGTGCCACGGCCGCGGCTCGCAGTTTGAGGCGACGGCGGCGCTGTCCCTCGCGCGGCAGCGCCGCTGGCCCAGCCGAGGGCTCCCGCGCCCGACTCCGTCGCCCCTTCCGGGCCCCGCCGGCGGAAAGGTTTAGATCGGGAGCGTTTCTTTTAAGCTACTGGTCTAATATAAAGTTTTTTGGCGTTTATATAAACACGTTTTTTGTTGGTAAACTTTTCGGGGCTCTCCCGCGCGAGACTTTCTGCTTCGGAATAGCCTAGATTGATCTTATATGGGGGTCACATCATTCTTTTTCGCCCGGTGCCAAAACTTTGTTTTTGGGGTGGGTCTAAGCTTTTCGATGCGCGCCCGTGCGGGGCGTGCCCCAGGCGCCGCGCGGGGTTCTTCCCAGCGCCGCCAAGGGCCGACGCGCCCATTGGTTTCTGCCCTGGCACGAGCGCGCGAATGTCCACAATGATTTTGGGCATGGGCCGCGTGCCAGCGCAAGGAAACGCCAAGTTCAAACGCCAATGAGCATGGCAACAGCGCGCCGTTCGCATTGACTTTCGCGGCGTTGTCGTTGGCTGACCGTCGAGCAGTTTCCGCTTTCAGTTCGCGCGTCGCTTGACGGTCCCATTAGGCTAAAGTTCCTCATGTGGGGGGCGGGGCGGGTTTTTTCTTGTGCTCATACTGCAGGAACATGCATGCTGCAAGTGTTCGGGTCTTGGGGGCCCTCGTTCGGTGCGGTGACAACGCCGCGTGGTTAGTCAGCGGAGATGCGAGGTGACCGCGCCGTTTTGGGACTGGTCGTTCTCCGAAGACGTCTTCGCCGAATGACTGATGTTTGCACGGTCCCAAACCGGTGCGGTGACAAACCGAGCGGTGAGGTCTTTTGAGGTTTGAGATTTCGAGGTCGCCGCACCGTCTGTCACCGCGCCGTCGGTTCTCATTCTCCGTTGGGGGCAGCGCCAGAGCGGGGGGGGCAGTCACGCCTTTCGCGCCCCGAGAGCGGCGCGGGGCGCGCAGAAGGCGTGCGTCCGTTGTGTGGTGTCCCGTCGGGCCTGCCCGCCCCGCCCCACCCCAGCGTTTGCCACAGCTGGAGCGTCAGATCCAGAAACGAAATCTACATATACCTATCCAGTGCCATTGGTCAGGTCCATCCTGGGACCAGGAGCGGAGTAGATGCCTCCCTGGCTCAGCCAGGAGCGGTGTACGCACCACCCTGAATGTGCACTGCTTTCGCCGTTTTTTCAGAGCTGTGCCATTCCGACTGGCTCTCTGTCGTTTACTGCACGGGGTCAGGGGCAGCAGCAGCTGGCACGGGGGGGGGGGCATCGGCCCCCAATCCGGCCACTCCTCGTCGATTTGGGCCTTGGTGCCCCAGTCCACTCAGTAACGTGCGGTGTCGCTATCGGGGGCACAGCGCCGGTCCACCGGCGATGTATCATCGTTTCTGGGTCAATGCGTCCCCCCCCGGAGCCAGCCCCCCCCCATCGTTCCCCCTCGTACCCGTTCCTCCGAGTCCGGGCTTTTGGAGGCCAGTTCTAGGCCCGAGTGCCCGCAGGGAGCAGCCCCGTGGCATGGACATCCACGCGAGAGATGGGGTCCAGAGATAGCGGCCCATCCTTCGGAGGGCGGCCACTGCTTCAGTCATCGGACGCTCTCTGCGCGTACTTGTGCCCGCTGTGTCTGGCTGGAGATACGCCAGGGCTGTGGAAGTGTGCGAAGCGCAGATCCCAGCATCCGTGTATAGTGTGAGATCGCCTTGCTTTTTCGGCTGGAGATGACAGGGTTGTGGAAATGCGCGAAGCAGAGATCCATGCGTTCTCCCGTATTGCCAGATCGCCTTGCGCGGGCTTCCGCGACCGGTAGATGTGGTCGAGCAGGGCCCGGGTTACCCCCCCGCGTGTGCGCAGGGCTGACGGACAGCGTTCTGAGCTTCTTCGGGCGCGCCTGGGCATGGCCGAGCGCCCAGCCCAGCCACCGAGCCCATAAGCTTCTGTGGCGAATGCGGTTGTCGGTCGAACGCGGACTTCGCAGCTTCTCTTTGAGCCTTGAGTCAAGTGGCTTGCGCCATTGCGCCGACCCTCAGCGGAGTAGAGACGTCCAGTGCGTTCGGTTGGCTATGCTGGAGCTGTAGCGGCTGGGTGTTTCTTTCACACCGGCGAGGGCTTACGGGTATGGGGGCATCTGGTTGTTTTTTTTTGCCTCTTGAGGGCCTTTTGTGAACCTCTCGAGGGCCTCGTGGGGGCCTCTTGGGGGCGCCTCGGGAGTCTCGGGGGGGCATATGGGAACGTGAGGGGGGGAAAGGCTCGAGATGTCAGTTCGAATTGTCCCTCTTGGGGCTTTCTTGGGGCCCTCGTGGGCCGTACTAGGGGCCCTCGGGGCCGTCTTGGGACCCTCTTGGACCCTTTTGGGGCTGTGTTGGGCCGCCTTCGGGTCCTCTTGGGGGCCTCATGGGCCGTCTTGAAACGATTTTGGAGGCCCCTTGGGCCGTATTGGACGCTGCCAAGACGAGAAAGGCGAGTATGTCGAACATGTACAATTTCCGAATGGCATTGGGCGATCTTGTTGTCTTGTGGCCCTCTCGGCGGTCCTCTGGGAACATTTGGCCTTCTGGGGGCTTAGTGGGCTGTCTTTAGCCATCTTGGACCCTCGCGGGGTTACCCTGGGCCGTTGTTTAGGCCCTCTTGGGCCGTTTTGGAGCTCTCAGGAAGCCCCCGAGAACCCCCCGGGTGCGTTGATGAGGTCGCCGCCCCCCCTCCCCCCCCTTAGAATAGGATTTTGGACCCCTGGGGAGGGGGAAATGGGGAAATTGGGAGGGGGACAGCCAAATATCTCACACGCCTCTCCCCCCCCCCCCCCCCCGCAAGCGCGGTCGGCGGATTCGTGTGGCCGAGGTTGACGGCTTAGACCACCCTAGCAGTTGTCAGCGTGAGTAGTAGCAGAGGGTAGAAAGTTGTCTTCCCGCCAACAAGTGGTGTACGCATGGTCTCATTCGGATGACGAATGTGAGTTTTAGTTTCGAGCCTTAGTGCACATGCCGAATGTCTCGGATGTTGGAATTGTAGATGCGCGCAGCAACATAACCTGCGTACTCTTCTATTCCCTCCCGCAGGAGGAGGGGGGAGAAGGAGGAGTTGGGAGGGAGAGGGGGGAAGAATGAGGAGGAGGAGGCGGAGGAGGAGGGGATATACAGAAGAAGGAGGAGGAATCCGCTTCCCATCGTCGCTAGAGCTTCTCGTTCCTCCTACTCTCTTTTTTCCCCTCCTCCGCGCCGCCCTCCTTCAGCTTGGCCGTCATCTGATCGCCTTCGCTCATGCTGGCCGCTTCCTCACCAGGACGCTGTGGGACCTCGGCACCGAGGCTGAATCAGATGCTGGTGCATTGGGTGCCGAGGCCAGCGGGATTCATTACCGAGAGGTACTTCGGACGAGCGGGGACGGGGGGAGGTAAATAAAGAGCATGAGGAGGAGGGTGAGGATACCATGATGACTGTGATGACGGTGGTTGGTGGTGGTGAAGATGATCATGACGAGGGTGAAGGCGAAGATGATGATCACGATGAAGACGATGATAACGACGGCAGTACGGACGTTGGTTGATAATGATGATGTTGTTTACACGCTGAGTTGGCATGATGGTTATGATGCCGATGATGACGAGGCTGCTGCTGCGGATGCTGCTGCTGATGATGCCGATGGTAACGTTGTTGATGTCAATGATGTTGATGGTGACCATTTTGTTGATGGCGATTATGGCCGATGGTGCAGCTGTTGACTCCGATGATGATGCTGATAGATGAGGATGCTGCTGCTGCTGATGATGATGATGATGATGATGAAAATGATGATGCTGATGCTGATCATGATGGTGATGATGATGATGATGGTACTGATGGTGATGCTGATGTTGATGATGGTGCGGATGATGCGGATGCTGATGCTGATGATGCTGCTGCTGCAGCGATGCTGACGTCATCATAATGCTGAATCTGATGAGTTTGATAATTATGATGTTGTGGTTGTTGTTGGTGTTGCTGTCGAATTCCTTTTTCCAGCAGTAGTCATGGGTGATCCTCCCTGCCTGGTGCACATTCTGTTTTTTCAATGGAAGTGTCCCTCCCAGGATTCGCACACCGTTTTTTCTCAGGGCACATCGTTGTGGTCAAACTGGGACCCTGGCCCCGGGTTAAAACAACATGAGCTCCCGCCCCATACTTCCTCGCAGCCGATTGGCGAATCGCGCTCTCGCTCGGGACTGCCTTACAATTCATCCAGGCGTCGCGCTCTCGCCTGAGAGTCCCTTACATTTGGTCCGCGAATCTTTGTCTCGGGCTCCCAAATCGCGCTCTTGACCCAAGAACCTCGCTCTCGCCTGATACTTCCTTGCCATCCCGTACTGCTAATTTCTCTTGCTTATCCCTCTCGCCTTCCATCTTCTCCCTCTCTCTCTCTCTATTGCCTCCTTCCCTCCTCCCTCTTTTCCTCCACTCCCTTCCTCATCGCCCTCGTCCTTGCCAACTCTCTCTATTAGTCCTGATGTTATTGCGCGCCGTGCCCCCAAGACTCAGGAATCACGCTCTCGTTTTGGATTTCCACGCGATTTCCTTGGGAATCGTGCTATCGCTCGAAACTTCCTTCGATTCATGCCGGATTGACGCTTCATCGACCCGCCTGCTCGACCTGGCCGTCTGGGCCCTCCCGCCCGACGTTCCCGTTAGGGTCCGCCCGCCCGACCCGCCTGTCTGGTTCGGCCGATTGTGCTCCTGTTTCTCACCTTCCCCTGCAAAACTCTGTCGTGTTCCGTCCTTCTCCCTCCCCCTTGTCTGTTCCCTTTCCCCTTCCCCTGTTTGGGCTGCGCCTTTCCCCTTCCCCTGTTTTAGGGGCTGCGCCAACTACACGCGGCTGGTTGGGACGATATGCCCCAAGGGTTGTACGATCGAAAACGAAGAGGACGGGTATCAAGGGTTTGGGGTATACGTGTTGAAAGCCACGCGGGCAGACAAGAGCTGCATTCTTAAAGTGCGTGTCGTTGTTGTGGCTTTAATTGCTGGTAAAGGACGGGCCAGCGCACCTGGGGGGGGACGGACAACGCACCAACACAACACGACGCAGCCCTCTGGATTCCATACCGTTCCGTCTAGGCAACTCACCATCCGTATACACGTCGTATGGGTTCCCTATGAGGTTCCCTGTCGTTCCATGCAGTCCGTGTACCATCCTCATTGTGTCCCACTGCTTCGTCCCTGTACAATCCCTTTTGGAGGTTCTAGGTCCGATGTGCTGCCCGGGCAAAACCAATACAGTTCCCAGTGGGCCAGTGCCACACCCGCACAATTCGTAATTGGTCCCTTCGCCAAGGATCCTTTTACAACTGATTCTTTACTCGAGAGTCTTTAGGGGGGATCCGTTAGTAGGGATTCCTTATTGATTGCGGGTTTTCCGTAATGTATACTCCAGTCAAGGTTTCTCAGTACGCCTTCATTAGTGGTGGCTCCTCAACCAACATTCTTTTTAAAGGATTTCAGATCCAGGGTTTCGGCGTGGCGATTCCCTGCTCAGGAATCATTGCAGGGGGATCTCTTTAGTACGAAGTCTTTGCGGATGGATGATGTTTTAATAGAGCTTCCTCTTCGAGGGTTCCTTAGTCATGCAGAGTAGAGCTTCTCTGGTCATGATTCCTAGGTCAGGATTCCGCAGTCAGGATTCTTTCGTAAGAACCCCTTTTTACTGATCCCTTAGTCTGGATTCCTCACTAAGGGTTCCTTCGTAATTTTTCTTTGCCAAGGATTCCGCTCCAAAGAGTCCTCATTCCGTATCTTGTATCAAGGACTTCTTATTGAGGACTCTTTGCGACGGTTTCTTGGTTAAAGGTTCTCGAGTAAAAACCCTTTATACTTAAGACTTGTTTATGTATTGCAAATTCTGTACTACGGATTCCTGTTTTTGGGTTCTCCCTTGAGGAGCCTTTCGTAAGGATGTCTTATAGAGGATCTCCTATGACGCTTGCGTCACTAATGTTATTTCAGCCAGGATCCTTGAGCAAAGGCATCCATCACCACGGATTCCGTACGAGTGATTGTTTAGTCAGGACTCCTCATTAAGACGTATATATGAAGGTTTCTAGCCGCATTCAGTGAGGCACCAGGAAGGGTCCTTCCATCACCCAGGATACTTCATAGCAGGTTTTTCGCCACGGACCCTTGCGTACACATTCCTTACACCGTATTCCCCACCAAATGTTCGTTATTTCGGATCGTTTAGTACGAATGCTTTGGTGAGGATTCTTTCGCATGGGTTCGCCCGAGGACCCAAGAAGGATTCCGGAGTTCGAATTTTCAGTAAGGATTCTTGAGTAAGGGTTCCATGCAGTTTGCCGTATTCGGGATCCCTCAATTAGGGTTTTGCGCCAAGGGTTCTTCACCGCAGTTTCCTTACGACGGGATGTTTCGTAAGGCATCCTACTGAGGCCTCTTTGTGTGGGGTCTGTAGTATGAGGGGTACTTTAATAAGAATTCCCTTTCGTCAATCTACGATTACGGATTCTTGCATTGAGAAGACCGAAAGGCGGACACCGTATTAATGATATTTGTATTACTAGAAAACGGGGGGCGTACCAATTTTTTTCAATAATGTGGCGACTAGACATCGGATCACTGAATACAAATACAATCATCGAATGGTCCGCAATGCCCTTGAACTCTTCGCCAATGAACGTCGGGCCAGAGCCAGATGTTTCACACATGCGGCGTCGCTCTTAATAGTCAGGTCGTTGGCAGGAGAGCGACCGCGAGGGGGCGTGGAAACATGTGGAGGAGGAGCGGTTGAAGACATACTTTGTGAGAGTAGCAGCGCCTTGCGCTGTGTTCGCATTGCAGGACTGCGCTCTGCGCGTTATGACAGTACTGCGCCTGCGCTAAACGTAGCATGTGCCCGCGTGCATCAACGGACAGCGCCATGCGCTGCTGCGCGGCGCTCGCACGCGCCGCGATGTCTTATCTAACAGCGCCGTGCGCTATGCGACTGGAAGAGGGCATGATTTCCCTACATGTGTCTCGTCGCGGCTGCTACACGCTGCAGATGGCGCTCAGAGCTTAGCGGGTCAAGTTCGAAGTGTGGCGCGCCCGCGTCGCAGACGCTGGAAGAGGCCAGCGTTCGTGTCGCCGCTGCGACGCCCCGCTCTGCCGGCCCTCCCAGGGGCCCCCGCCGCGCGCCGCGGAAGAGCGGCGCCGTGCGCCCAATCGTTCGACGGCGCCCTGCGCGTGCGCGCGTGCATGCGTGCGTGCGCGTCGCGGACGAGGTCGCCGTTGTTGCGACCGTGCAGAACGGGGGCCGAGGAGTGTCCGGCAGGCGTGCCCTCCCGCCGCCGGGCAGTTGCTGGCGGTCCTGGCGCGCGGCGAATTCTCGGCCTCGCGGCTCACAATGAGCCGGCTTCGCTGGGTCGAGTTGTGCGGCAGATCGTGGGGCCGGCGCCGCTCGCGTCAAGGCTTTGCCGGCCCAGCGCGCGCCTCGCCCGTTGGGGCCCCCGGGCGGAAGAGCTCGCGACGGTCTCCCCCGCGGGCGCGTCGGCGAGCAGTGGCCCTCCGGGCAGGGCCCAGCCCGCCCGCCTGAATCTCTGGCCCTCCTTGCCCACGTGCCGCTCAGCCATGAGCTTGCGCCGCGCGGTCGCGAGATCGTCAATGGCAGGGGAGAGCGCGTAATCGCTTCAACGTTCCTCTCCGCTTAGAGCGCGACAGCGCATCTCGCGCCCCTCCAGCATCGCCTGCAGCGGCAGCGTAGGCGTCGCCTTGGCCATGTGAAGGTCTCAAGTATCTCAATTCATACTAACGTATTTCATAGCTAACGCATGGTCTGGTTTCCAAGCCAGCCACCATGCTCGTGTCACGGCTTGTAGGTGACAGTAGTGTCACCGCTGTGACGAAAGTGGCGCCAATTTCGCAGATCGCAGCCCCCCAGGGGGCGGCGAGGTCTCGTGGTGATCCGCGTTGGACGTACGTCCGCTGGGCCTCTCAAAAGTCCACGAAAGTGGCGACAGTTTTGCAGATCGCAGGCCCCCACAAAAACGGCGATGTCTCGTGGTGATCCGCGAAGGACGTACCTCCGCTGGGCCTGTCAGAAGCCAACGAAAGTGGCGAAAGTTTCGAGATCGCAGCCCCCCAGGGGACGGCGAGGTCTCGTGGTGATCCGCGTTGGACGTATTTCCGCTGGGCCTTTCAGAAGCCAACGAAAGTGGCGAAAGTTTCGCAGATCGCAGCCCCCCAGGGGACGGCGACGTCTCGTGGTGATCCACGTTGGACGTATTTCCGTTGGGCCTCCCGGAAGCCACTTAAGTGGCGACAGTTTCGCAGATCGCAGCCCCCCAGGGGACGGCGAGGTCTCGTGGTGGTCCGCGCTGGA